AACTCCATCTGTGTTCATATTTGGGCATATGGAATACTTGTGCCAAGTTTGGTCCAGATCATCGTTTGAGTCCACAGTGCTCGCTTGGATGTAGGTGAACTACAACTCCCAAACTCAAGGTCAATGCCCACCAAACCCTTCTAGTGTTTTCTGTTAGTCATGGGAGTCCTGTATGCCACGTTTGGTTCAATTCCATCATTGGTGGAGTTCAGAATGCTCTCTGATTGTAGGTGAACTATAAATCCCATCAGCTACAACTCCCAAATGACAAAATCATTTTTTTCTGATGGTCACTCCTTGGGTTAGTGGGTGTCTTGTGGCCAAATTTGGCGGCAATTCATCCAGTGGTTTTTGAGTTATGTTAATCCCACAAACGAACATTACATTTTTATTTATATAGATGGATTAAATGTTATCTATGTAGCTAAAACTTGTCTTCAGTAAAAAAAAAATATAAATATTTTTATTGCATTTATTCAGTTTAACATAAACACATTAAGTAAACATACCTTTATCACTAAATTAATCCTATACTCTATAACTACTACGAATTCCAACTAACTATAAATCAATTCAGACTTCTCTCAATTTACAAAACAAAAAATAATAATTAGAATCTGACCAATCCTTATAATCAAGTCACCCATTCTTCACTCTCCAAATGCAATATAATCGTAACATATATACAACATGCAAATTCTAAACATGTCCCATCATTCAATCTTATTCTGTTTTGGAAGCATAATGATGAGCACTCTTTGGATACTGACCATGGTCCATTCCTGTTGTTCTCTTTGATACTTTTTTCCCCTTCCCTCTTCCCCTTACCCTTAGTTTGTGCCCCCTCCACCAGGACCAACCAACTCATGTTGTTTCACCATTCCAAAATATCATTGTTTCTCTTGCTGGCTTATACCCCTTTCCCTCATTAAACACATACTCGATAAATTTTCCCCATATTTTCCAAAAGTCGGTTTGTTTACATATTCCCTTTTTAATTTTAATATTGCAAGTTAGCTTATCATTAATCGCTATATTCCAAATTTCCCTATACCATTCTTCTAATTGAATTTCTTTTTTTTCCTTCCAATTTTTTTGCTATCAACAATTGGCTGCTGTTATCAAATTAGAAACCAATTCTTTCTCCTCTTGTACGGGAATTATATTATCATGTATAAGTAATAAAGCTAATTTTGGTGTAATCTCAGTCTCTATTTTTATTATTGCTCTTATTTCTTTGAATATGCTTTCCCAAAATTTTTGTATAATGTAACATGACCACCACATATGAAGATACGTCCCTATTTCCTGACAACCTCTCCAACACTGATTTGAATATTTTTTATCAATCTGATTTAATCTAATAGGGGTTAGATACCACCTCCATATCATTTTGTAGTAATTTTCTTTAATTCTGATAGACATATTTTTAGTATTCTCATATTCCATATGTTTGCCCATTCTTGATTATTCATTTTCCCCCCAAGTCTGTTTCCCATACTTCCTTCCAATAATCTTGTTCCTGTTCATTCATTAATAACAGTTTATAGATATCACTTACTGTGCCTTTTAATGTTATATTCTCTTCTTTAGTCTCCCTTTGAGTTATCATCTTTTCTATTTTTGTGTATTCCCTACCTCCATTATACTTTTTTCTTATATCACTTGACCATTTACCCAATTGTAGATACTTATACCAATCTAAGTCTCCTAATTCCTCTTTTATTCTTTCCATATTTACCATTTTCCGATCCCAGTCTTTTACTTTCATTAAACCTCTTCCATTAAGTTCTACTTCAAGTTCTTTTTTTAAATTTTCTGGGAAGTTTTCTGTCATTAAAACTGGCATGATATGAGAAATACCTGGCATTAGGGTTTTTTTATATCTCCCCCAAATCTCTAAAATATTTTTTAGAAAGGGATTGTTTAAATTGTTATACCATTTCTTTTTATCCTTTTCTCTATTACCCCTATAAACTTGTCTTCAGTAATATGTAAGCCTCATGACTTTGCCATTGCCTTGCTGAGTGATTGTATGAAACAAGGGTGAATAGCAGCATGAAACCTTGCACTTGTTGCCCTGAAACTCCCATCGTCCCTCACCCTAGGCTGGGTTGATAGGTTAGACTAGAACTGACAAGGGCTGCATACAGATGGCTGTGGTTGTCCGATCTGGACTCAGGAAAAAAATGTGATTTCTTCCAGTAGGCTTTTTATGTCAGTAAGGGCCTCTGACAGACCACTCTGGAATTCCTCATGAATGCTGGAACAACCGGTTATTTTATGGTATCCTTTCAGTCTTTTTCTTAAACAAGCTTTGACACCTCACTGAATGCTATGCACAAATATTAAGGCCAGCTTCATCATTGGGCAACGTCCAGCATTTACCTTGAGCAGTTAATTTGGGTTTCATAAAAGAAGAGTAAATTGCTAATTTTGTTATATCTTCACAGCTAGAAAATAATTTTATGGCATTTGCTGGCTCGAGTTCCAAAATAAACTAACAAGCCTTTGGTGCTATTCCAAGCTTTAAGATTTAGAACAAGGTCCATTTGCTGTTCTAGTTCCTATAGCAAAATATTGCCTTTCTTTGTGATGCAACCTTTTTTCTCTCCTTTCGATCCCTCCTAAAGAGATTATTATCTCTTTTCACTTATGATTTATCCTGTCTTCAGTGTGGGCATTGATACATTGCATCTAGTCCAGTGTTTCTCAACACGGGGGGGGGGGGGGGGGGGGGGTGTATCAGGACCTCTGAGTGGGTCGCAGGGGGGGTTTCAGAGAGTTCATAGAACAGTGTTTCTCAACCTGGGGGTCGGGATCCCTGTGGTGTCGGAGGGGTCGCCAAAGACCATCAGGATACACAGTATTTTATGCTGGTCATGGGAGTTCTGTGTGGGAAGTCTGGCCCGATTCTGTCGTCGGTGGGGTTCAGAATGCTCTCTGATTATAGATGAACTATAAATCCTAGCAACTACAACTTCCAAATGTCAAGGTCTATTTTCCCCAAACTCCATCAGTGTTCACATTTGGGCATATTGAGTATTCGTGCCAAGTTTAGTCCAGATCTATCATTGTTTGAGTTCACTGTGCTTCCTGGAGATAGGTGAACTACAACTCCCAAGCTCAAGGCCAATGCTCACCTAACCCTTTCATTATTTTGTGCTGGTCATGGGCATTCTGTGTGCCAAGTTTGGGTCAATTCCATCGTTGGTGGAGTTCAGAATGCTCTTTGATTGTAGGTGAACTATAAATCCCAGCAACTACAACTCCCAAATGACAAAATCAACACCCTCCCCAACCCCCCAGTGTTCAAATTTGGGAGTATCAGGTATTTGTGCCAAATTTGGTCCAGTGAATGAAAATGCATCCTGAATATCGGATATTTACATGATGATTCATAACAGTAGCAAAATTCCAGTTATGAAGTAGCAATGAACATAATTTTAGGGTTGGGGGTCACCACAATATGAGGAACTGTATTAAGGGGTTGCGGCGTTAAGAAGGTTGAGAACCACTGTCATAGAATCATAGAGACCTCATGGGCCATCCAGTCCTACCAAGAAGCGGGGAAATTGCATTCAAAGCACCCCCGAAAGATGGCCATCCAGCCTCTGTTTAAAAGCTTCCAAAAAAGGAGCCTCCACCGCACTCCGGGGCAGAGAGTTCCACTGCTGAACAGCTCTCACAGTCAAGAAGTTCTTCCTCATGTTTAGATGGAATCTCCTTTCTTGTATTTTGAAGCCATTGTTCTGCAACCTAGTCTCGAGGGCAGCAGAAAACAAGTTTGCTCCCTCCTCCCTATGACTTCCTCTCACATATTTATACATGGCTATCATGTCTCCTCTCAGCCTTCTCTTCTTCAGGCTAAACATGCCAAAAACCATCAGAAAACACATATTTCTTATGGTTATAGCAACCCCTTTGGCACAGGTGACTGAAAATCTCTGTCTGTCCTCTTCTTTTTGGTGTTGATGAACAACTCCCAGAATTCAAAAACACACCCCCCCCCCCAAACCCCAACCAGTATTCAATGTTGGCCATGTAGGTAGTGTGCCAAGTTTGGTGCAGATCCATTGTGGTCTGGGTTCAAAGTGCTCTTTGATTGTAGCTTAACTATAAATCCCAACAGTTATAACTTCCAAATGTCAAGGTCTAGTTCCCCCAAACTCCACCAGTGTTCACATCTGGCCATATTGAATATTCGTGCCAAGTTTGGTCCAGATCCATCATTGTTTGAGTCCACAATGCTCTCTGGATGTAGGTGAACTGCAACTCCAAAACTCAAGGTCAATGCCCACCAAACCCTTCAAGTGTTTTCTGTTGGTCATGGGGGTTCTGTCTGCCAAGATTGGTTCAATTCCATTGTTGGTGGAGTTCAGAATGCTCTTTGAGTGTACATGAACTATAAATCCCAGCAACTACAACTCTCAAATGACAAAATCAACCCCGCCCCAACCCCACCAGTATTCATATGTCAATATATCGGTTATTTGTGCCAAATTTGGTGCAGTGAATGAAAATACATCCTGCATATCAGATTCATAACGATTCATAACAGTAGCAAAATTACAGTTACGAAGTAGCAACAAAAATAATTTTATGGTTGGGGGTCACCACAACATGAGGAACTGTATGAAGGGGTCACGGCATTAGGAAGGTTGAGAAACACTGAAAGAAAATAGAGGTTGTCCTGTCTTTCATTCTCACCTGTAACTGCATCTGTCCAACACTAACTTTTGCCTGGCATTGTGAGATACATGCATTCTAAAATATAGGAAAACGTGAGTGCATTGTGGAGATCAGGGTTTGGAATTAGACTTGGGAGAGCCAGTTCTAAGATTTCCACTTGTCCATGAACCTCATGGCTAACTCCATGAGAAAGTGAACTTCCAGGAGGATAGGAAAGACAATATATAAAGAAATAATATGAAGGATGGTATCTTACCTTTCTAATTAAATAACTTTGTTTCATATCTCTCTTGTTTTCCCTGTTTTAGATTTTAAGCTCCTAGTAAACAGATACCTGCCTCTTTGGACCCATGTAACTCTGTTAAGTGCCAGGTAAGCTGGTGACTAAATAGCATTCTTGCTTGCTTCAAGATCTGCCTCCGAATCAATTTACTATTAAACCATCACTCTTTTTCTAAACCTCTAAGTACAGGATCTTCTGAAATGGATGAAGCTGTTTAGGGTCTCACGTAACCCCAAAGAAGGCAAAACAAAAGGTAAATAATTCAAAATACAGGACTTTTGTGGTGGAGAGTTTTTTTTATAATTCGTATCAGAGCGACTGGAGAAACTGCAAGTCGCTTCTGGTGTGAGAGAATTGGCTGTCTGCAAGGATGTTGCCCAGAGGATGCCCAGATGTTTTGATGTTTTACGATCCTTGTGGGAGGCTTCTCTCATGTACTCGCATGAGGAGCTGGAGCTGACAGAGGAAGATCATCCGCACTCTCCCCGGATTCGAACCTCCAACCTGTCGGTCTTCAGTCCTGCCAGTACAAGGGCACAGGACTTTTGTGGAGGAGCTGAAAGAAGATAAGGCGGTAGAGTGGAGCTCAGTGAAGTTGTATGTCAGCAATGGGGTTTTGAGACCTTACTCAGGAATTGGAATGGGTTATCATCTTGGGACCACATGCCAGCATGGAGCAGCTCCTGTCTACCATGTAACACTGGCACACTTCCGCTGGCATTTTCACCCAAGGTTAATTTGATTCTCAGGCTGTACATTTTATTTATTTATTATTTATTACATATATTTATACCCCTCCCTTCTACTCCCCAAGGGGGGGACTCAAGGCAGCCTTACAATAAACACCATACAATGCTATAACACTCATAAACAATCAACAATACATTAAGACAATTCATTAAAACAGTAGAATTAAAACATTCCAGTTAAAAATCAAATCCAAATCTGGGTTAAATCATTGCCGCGGGTTTCCAAAGTCTTCTTTCCACATTGCCATTATTAAACTAGTCGAACACCTGGTCCCAAAGCCAAGTCTTCATTTGTCTTCTAAAAGACAAGAGGGAGGTGGCCAATCTGATGTCACTGGGGAGAGAGTTCCACAGATGGGGGGCCATTACCGAGAAGGCCCTGTCTCTCGTCCCCACCAACCGCGTTTGCGATGATGGTGGGATCAATAGCAGGGCTTCTCCTGATGATCTTAAACTTTGTGATGGTTCATAACAGGAGATACGTTCGGACAGGTAGTCTGGGCCAGAACTGTTTAGGACTTTAAAGGTTAAAACTAGCACTTTGAATTGTGCTCGGAAGCTGATCGGCAGCCAGTGGAGCTGGCATAACAGAGGGGTTGTATGCTCCCTGTACGCGGCTCCGGTGAGCAACCTGACTGCCTACCATTGTACTAATTGAAGCTTCCGGGCAGTCTTCAGAGGCAACCCCATGTAGAGTGCATTGCAGTACTCTATTCGGGATGTAACAAGAGCGTGGACCACCGTGGAAAAAGTTACTTCTCCTACTGCAGAGGTGGCAATTTTGAGCTTTGCAAACACTTTGTTTATGAGGTGATATTGGGGGAGCACTTCTGAGTAGTTTTGGCCCATTTCAATCTCTTTCTAGGTTAGAAAACCAAATTGGCAAGATATTATTTGTGGGGGATCACTGTAGTTGCTTCTGAGGCTGCAAAACCGAAGGTCAAGGAGTTAACTATCTCATCCCTGCTCTCATGTGTATAATGAAGGCTAAAGAACTTTCCCCAAGCAGTCATATTTCCACTTCTGAATTTTTAGCTCTAACCAATGAGCCCAAAGGAGCTATTTACTTTTTCAGTTTCTATAATACTTCTGTATATGTTTTTCATAATTCTATCCTAATTTTCTCACTGATTGGAGAGGGACAAGAAATAGAGCTTGACAGAGCAACTGCAGTAGAGTCTCGCTTATCCGACCTTCACTTATCCGACATCCCGCCTTATCCGATGCCCCCTTTCCCTTCAGCATTTACCCTTCAATTAAAGGAGCACTACCCTACTCTCTCTCCATTCCCAATAAGTAAAGAGGAGGAAGAGGAATGAAAGGGGGAAAAGAGGCAGGACCGGAAGCGGAAGCGTCCTCCCTCCTTCCCTCTGTGCTTTCTATGTTTCTCTTCCTCATCCGGGCATTTACTGCTGGGCCTCTCTAGCCCCAAGGTGTAATAATAATAATAATAACAACAACAGCAACAACAACACTTTATTTACATTCCGCCCTTCTCACCCTGAAGGGGACTCAGGGCAGATCACAGAACACATACGGCAAACATTCATTGCTGCTTTGTATAGACAATACACAGACAGACAGATAGAACAGAAAGAGGTGCCATGGAAGGTTGGGCTTGAGTCCAGGAGGTGCTGTTGCTCCATCCTCTATGACGAAGAGCCGTCAGAACTTCCTCCTTCCTTTTGGTCACCCAGCATTTTCTGATCTTCTTGTTTATGTTGTCGTAAAACACCTCCCCCGCTTTTTTAGTAGTACCTAATTTCTCTAATCACAGCTAAAGCTGTTTTCGAATTGCTTAGGTAAACAATGAGCTGAGGCTGACAGTTGGCTTTGAACTTGAACTTGCAACCTTTTGGTTGATCGATATTACAATTGCTGATGATTTACCAGCTGTGCTAAACCTCTGGCCTTAAACCTTTAAGTCTTTGTTGTTAGTATTCTAGGTGTCTAGGGCCGCATCAGATGGCTAACAGTAGGAGACTCCATATTATCTGACATTTTTGTTTATCCGATGTTCTGCCACCCTGTATATGTCGGATAAGTGAGACTCTACTGTATAAACTACAATTTCCAGAATCCCATCTCACAAAACCAGTGGCCATGCTGTCCAAGGCAGTTGCTTTTTCAAATTCTTGGAAAGATCTCTCTGAGATATTTAATCTCGATCCATGATCATAGCTGTTCTTCAATCTTCAGAGCTTCCCACTGTCTCTGCACACACAAAAGAGCACTCCTCATGAACCTTCCAGCTGTTTTGGGTTGTAATTTCTTAACATTCCTAACCTTTGACCATTCAGACTGGGTTTGGTGGGAGTTTAAAAAAATGCCAAACAGCTAGAGGGCATTAGGTTTGGTGAGACTTCACTATGACACTTTCTGCACAATTCCAGGAAGCTGTTTGTAAAAGTTAGGAACAGAAATTCAATATGATACAAAGGGTTGCAGTTGGAAAGTTCAGTCTGTCAACATTCCTCATCTCCTTCCCACAAAGCAGAAACATTTGAATGCTGGGATGTGGATGTCTGCATCTCATCTCGGCCATATTTTTGGAGTCACAAAGGCTAGAAACTTGGTCTTTTTTTTAAAAAAAAATGAAGCTGTAGTTCCCCAAGAAGTTGAACTCTGCACCTGATGGATGTACAGAGTTGCAGGACTTCACAGTCCTCTCTTTATGCTCTCATTTTTAAACATTTCTTCCATCAAATCCAGACTCTAGTCCATGATAATTTGCTTCTTAATATTTATTTGTTTGTTTGTTTATTTATTTATTTAGTGCATTTGTACCCTGTTCTTCTCACCCCCGGGGAGGGGGAACAAGTCTCAGGGCGGCTTCACAACAAGCACTCATACACACATACACACACACACGTTGCATATTTATACCAAAGGGGTTCAGTCCAGGGCAACATAAAAGGTAAAGGTTTTCCCCTGACATTAAGTCTAGTCGTGTCAGACTCTGGTGTGTGGTGCTCATCTCCATTTCTAAGCTTAAGAACCAGCATTCTCCGTAGACATCTCCTAGGTCATGTGGCCAGCATGACTGCATGGATCGCTGTTACCTTCCTGCAGAAGCGGTACCTATTGAACTACTCTCATTCACATATTTTCAAACTGCTAGTTTGGCAGAAACTGGGCCTAACAGCGGAAGCTCACCCCACTGCCCGGATTCAAACTGCTGACCTAATCAGCCAGTTCATTAGCCCTGAGAGTCCATAATATATTTCCAAAGGTTACAAAAAGGAAGAGGGGAAATCGTGTGTCAAAGAGATGTCAGCATTTTGTAATATAGTAGTGGGTATTTGTCAGGCGCCCTGATGGCGCAGCAGGTTAAATCGCTGAGCTGCTGAACTTACTGACTAAAAAGTTGACAGTTCAAATCCAGGGAACGAGGTGAGCTCCAGCTGTTAGACCCAGCTTCTGACAAACTAGCAGTTCAAAAACATGCAAATGCGAGTAGATCAATAGGTACCGCTTCTGTCTTTCTCTAAGAGGATCCAATCCTTAATCCAGGTAAGTCCGCATGCGTCATGGTATAGGTTTAGGTCCGGAAGAAGGGTTCAACCTAAGAGTGGGATGGCACTCCTATTTATGGAACGATCAAGCGAAGAAAGAAAGAAACTTCAACAATCATGCCATAAGAAGACCATTACTGAAAATATGGATTAAATACAAAAAACATCTCTACCCAAAGACCCCTTTGTGGTTATCACCCCTAGAGGGAGAACAGAGAAGACTTCTAGGTTGGAGGAAGTGGCCTACCTATAAAGACTCCCTAGTGAAAAGAGATGGTTCTTTTCAACTAAAGACCAAAGAAGAGCTAGCCAACGACTTTGGAAACTTTTCTTGGCTGAATTACTTCCAACTGAGAGATCATTTTATTAAAAACCAAAAGATGGGCTTCACAGAAAAAGATGAATTCTGGGAGAAAATATTGCGAAAAGATAAGAAAAACATAACTCACATTTATAACAAGTTATTAGATTGGAAAACAGACGGAGTCAGTAAAAGAATGCATGGTCAAGTGGGCGAAAAACATCGGCAGAACCATCAAGTTTAAAGAGTGGGAGTGCATCTGGACCAAGAAAATTAAATATACCTACTCCACAGGGTTGAAGGAGAACTGGTATAAGATGTTTCACAGATCACATGACGCCCCAGAAATTAGGTATCATGTATAGAAATCTTAACAAAAGATGCTGGAAGTGCGAAGAAAAGGTGGGAACTTTTTTCCACCAATGGTGGACTTGCACGAACGCACAACTTTACTGGAAAGAAATAAATGAAGCTTGTGAACGGATACTTAAGAGAAAAATACAGAGAAAAGCAGAGTACTACCTCCTCGGAATCTTCGAAGAAGAGTGGGAACTGGATGTAAACAGTGACATGTTGCTGACCTACTTAACAACGGCAGCAAGAATTGTATACGCCAGACACTGGAAATCAAAAGAAATCCCTTCCAAAGAGGAATGGTTAGAGAAGGTGTGTGACATACGAGAGATGGATGTACTGACCTACACCTTAAAAGATTCAAATGGGCGACCACTGAAGAGAACGAATTGGAAACCCTTCGAGGATTTCTTAGAAAAGATCTAGCCCGAAAAAAGACAAGAAAAAGAGAAGAAGCTAAGACAAGAGGGATTCAAAACTAAGGAATACAAGGGAGGAACTACACATAGAGTCTCCTAGAAAGGATCTCTACTTTAAAGACGCGGAGCAAGAGGACTGGGAAGTCGGTTTATCCTTCCAATTGTTATATTTCCCCCCCCCCCTGCTACGGTATTCCCAACTCTCCAACTTCCCTGTCACTCTGTAATAATCCCCACATCCCCCCCTTCCCTAGAGTACCCCCCCCCCATTAGGGCCACCTTCCCCCCCCCTCCTTTACCTTCTTCCCTTCTCCCCTGCCCTTCTTACCTTGTTGTCTTTTCTAAGATGTTTTTATATGTTCACTCTTTCCCCCCCACTTAAGCCTTTGTACATTTTGAAAAATTTCTAATAAAAAAAAAAAATAGGTACCGCTTCTGCAGGAAGGTACTGGTGCTCCATACAGTCATGCTGGCCACATGATCTAGGAGGTGTCTATGGACAATGCCAGCTCTTCGGCTTCGAAATGTAGATGAGCACCAACCCCCGGATTCAGACTTAATGTCAGGGGAAACCTTTGCCTTTTATTTGTCAATATTTCCCAAGCCTTGGTGGGAGTTAAATTATTGATCCCTCCACATCCTGGTCTACATGGGGTTCTATTTTGCATGAATTTGTGTTCTATTGCTAAAGTACAGCACAAATAAGGAAGAACAAAGAGATCTTTGATTGTAAATGAAAACCTTGGCTCACCAGAGGGGGTCGTGAATATTATTATCTCTTCCCAGCTTATCCGGTTCTAATGTGGAGGGAATGTGTGTCTTCTCTGTGTTTCTGACATTAGGTATTTCAAGGGTGGCAAGTCATGCTTGGAAGGAGACAAGGCCTTCACCAAAATCTAAGTGACCACCACCAGCCTCATGAAGATGTGGCTGTCTCTCCAAGGATCATTACTCCCAGGGCAAACAATATTAATCTGGAGGTGTTCAGTGGCTCCACCCCAGAGCTCAAGCCGACCCGCAAGCCAGCCCGGGATAGGAGACACTGCAAAGCTGATCCCAAAGACACCAACGGGAGGGAGGGAGAAACAGTCACCTTTATCTCTGGCCCTTCAGAGCCTCCCCAGTCTACATGCTGCCCCAGCTTCTCTCAGGCCTGGAGTGCGTACAAAGCAATCTTCTGCTGCATCGTGACTTGTGGGGGCTGCTTCAGGGATTGCAAGCCCAAAATCCCATACCCATATATTGAGACATTGACAGAGGATGTCAAGAGCCAAGAGTGCAATGGACGTTCACCAAGCAGCCCGGCCAGTAGCTCCCCCACTGAAAAGAATGGGAGCCAAACCAAAAAGAGCACTGTGGGCAGCAGTTTCAGCTACCCAGATGTGAAACTGAAAGGGATCCCAGTTTTTCCAAACCGGAGTACTAGCTCTCATCCAGACACAGATTCCTGTTACAAAGAGCCTCTGCAAGAAAAAAGCCCCTGGACCTACCCGAAGCAGCATCCTCCCAGTAGCCCGCGGAGTTCTGAAGAACATTATTCCTTCCATGAGTCGGATTTTGAGTTTGGGGAGCTGAATAGTTCCATGTCCAGCAGGGAGATTGACGTCCTGATCTTCAGGAAGCTGACTGAGCTCTTCAGCGTCCACCAGATTGACGAGTTGGCCAAGTGTACCTCAGACACGGTCTTCCTGGAGAAGACCAACAAGATCTCAGACCTCATCAACAGCATCACCCAGGACTATCACCTGGATGAGCAGGATGCCGAATGTAGACTGGTCCGGGGGATCATTCGCATCAGCACACGGAAAAGCCGGGTTCGGCCCCGCGTGTGTGTCCCCACTCTCCCAAGCCAGGAGGAGAACAGCAACCGGGGCAACCCGCCGGATAGTGGCAACGAAACCATGTTGGCTTCTGTGCTCACTAGCGAAGAAGGTATGTATGCATGTCCAGTCCATGCGGGACAAGGACACTGGTATAGGAGACAGTTCGGCCAGTATGCTGAAGGGTCACGCCTCTGGGGAAACTCAGTAACTTTGGGGGGCTTTTCAGTTAAGTACAGGAACATAAGTCAAAAGGACAAGGGAAAGAGAAGACAACTAAAGGCCTTCTAAAATCCTGAATGGCACATAGAGGAATGCTTTCTTTTGTGTGTGAGAGAGAGACAGAGAAAGAGAGACAGAGAGTGGCCTGGCCAAATGGCTTGGCAGAACGTCTAGACCAGGCATGGACAAACCGGCCCTCCAGGTGTTTTGGACTTCAGCTCCTACCATTCCTAACAGCCTCAGCCCTTTCCTTTTCCCCCTTAGTCACTTAAGCAGAAAAGGAAAATGAAGGAATAGTGGGAGTTGAAGTCCAAAACACCTGGAGGGCCCAAGTTGGCTCATGCTTGGTCTAGACTGAGGCATCAAGGGAAGTACTACTCTCCAAAACTAGCTGCTGGAATTCACTGCCATAAGATGTAACTATGGTCACTAGTTCAGCACTCTTGCAGACGAACCTACCCATATATACTTATTAGGGCTGGGCAACCACGGAAAAATTTGTTTCTAAAATCGATTCGTTTTTTGGGGGTTTTTGCGTTTCGATTTTTAAAAGAATTCCGAAATTTTTCTTTTAAAAAGTTCGATATTTACGAAATTTCGTAAATTACAAAACAATACGAAACAATTACGAATCGATTCGTTAATGGCGGACGCGACCGCGCAATACGCTAAAAAAACCTCCAAATGGGACAGGGGGAACTTCTGAAGCTTCCCTCTCCCTCTGTTGTTGACAGACAGCAAGTATTTTAAGACAGCAAGTATTTGTCAGCAGGAATACTGTTGGTGTGATATTTATAATTTTTTTCACTGATTAAACAACTATAAAACTTGCCCCAGACATGTGGAAATAATAACGAAACGATTTCAAAACGACAACGAAACGAATACAAAACGAATTCGAAACAATTACAAAACGAATTTAAAAATTCGTTTCGTTTTTTAGTTGCTCCTGAATGGTTCGTTATCGCTTCGTTATAAAAAAAATAACAAATTTTTAACGAATTACGAAATTACGAAACGAAACCGCCCAGCCCTAATACTTATGTATAAGTCAACCCCATGTATAAGATGAGGGCATTGTTTTGAAGCCAAGATTATGGATTTTGATGTAATAAGCTGAGGGTCATTCTGCTGAGAGGGGAAACTGCCAGCCGCCCCTTGTCACCTTTGCAATCAAAAAAGGCCAGAAGGGATTCCAAGAAAGTAAAAGGGGTTGATGTTTCTTGTAAGTTCTTCTGGGATGTGTGGTGGAATGCAAACCACACGTAGTTTATGTCTTTACCAATCCACACACTGTCTTGCTAGAGAAAAGATATGTCACACAGATGATCAGTAAAGAATGAGGTGTTTATTCTTTGTTATGCAGAGCAACATATATACAGTCACGTGAACAGTTGCATTGACTCATACAATACAAAGAGAGATTCAAATGGTCCTTAAGTGTCCATGCGAAAGAAGCAAAAATACAAACTGTCTTGGTAAGCTGCTGCACAGAAAACCTAAAAATGTAACTGTTGCCAAAACTCCCAGGCTCAGCTAGCATCTCGGTCATAGCCCAATTAATCAGCTTCGTCCTTTGCATTTTCCAGTTAACACACTCTCCAACTGATTTTTACAGGCTCCAACAGCATGGACTAAGTTCTTGCCTTCACCAATCTACTGAGAGGTGATAAAAAAATTAAGCTGCAGTACATACATTGACCCGTGGATAAGTCGATCCAGATTTTTAGGCTTGATTTTAAGTATTTCTTTTAGATTTGTACAAGTATATACAGTGCATAGTAGAGGTCTTACAAGTTGCTGGATAAAGTCCATTTCACATCCATTTTTCTCAATGTGCAACCTATTGTTCAAAAGCACATAATGTGTTACACAGTTTGTTGTACCTTGTCAATATATGACATATTTAAACACTCCAGCATCAGTCTTGCATTTTATTTTGCATCTCTTTTGTTTGTTTAAAGAGGAAGCCCTAGACTCCTCTTACAACAAAATGTTTGTCAACAACAACAATAACTTTATTCTTATATCCTGCCACCATCTCCCCGGAGGGACTTGGGGCAGTTTACAGATGGCACAAAGTGCTTAAAAGCAAACATAAAAGTGAACACAATATAAAATACAATAAAATAAAACACATGCACATATAAAAACATGAAAAAATAGATTTTTTTCCAGACCCTTCTGAAAGAGAAAAGTTGACAATAACAAAGTAAGATGTATGCACAGTTTTCTTATTTATTAATTTTGTTTGTACGTAGAGAGGCAAGCAATGACCAGAAAAGAATATACTCCTCCCTACAAGTGCAGTTGTTTTAAAAGTTAACACCAAAGTTAGTAGGCAAATTATGTTTATAGAATAAGCCTGCATACCTCCCCTGTTGAAGTAAGCTTTGTAAATACAAAAACAATAGCTATTGTTGCCCAGGGATCAAGCTAGAGATCTGTCATCTGTGGTTCTTTATTTTAAAATGAATAGCTATAGTATGAAGGAATGGGATTCAGATAATACCTGCAAATAGCAGTTCTGGAATAAGTATTTGTCAGCAGGAATACTGCATGTGTGAATTGCATAATCTCCTCGATTTTGTTGGAATTCAACCCCACACTGATCAAGTCTCAAGTCCTCAATGAGGAGCAGTTAGTTCATTTAGTATAGACCAGTGATTCCCAACCTGTGGTCCGTGAACCACAGTGGTCTGCAAGAATGAAAATATAGTCCGCAGCCTAACCATTACTACATCGTTGCCTCAAAACCACATAGCAACAAGGGTGACTGGTCTCGCGAAACCGTCTTATAGTGCCAAGGCAACAGGGATGTCAGGAGGGGAGAGGCTGACTACCCACAAAAGATTACTACTGCCATATCAGGTCTAGATTATTAAATATGATTTTCTGTGGATGAGCAGATGGTGACTACTGGGTGACATATTTTCTGGATCAGAAACTAGAGCTGATGAGCTCTATCCAGTTTTCTGAATAAGCACCCCAAATAACCAAACAAAATCTAAAGTTGACCAAAAACTGTAACCCTTTTGATACTAATGTTGGAGAGTGGTCCCTGGACAAGAAAAGGTTGGGAACCACTGGCATAGACTAAGGCAACATTTCTCAACCTGGGGGTCGGGACCCCTGGAGAAGATACGAGGGGGTTTCAGAGGAGTCACCAAACACCATCAGAAAACACATATTTTTGATGGTCTTAGGAACCCCTTTGACAGAGGAAGTTGAAGATTTCTCTGCCTGTCCTTGTCTTCCATTTTGGAAACAGATGGCGAATACTCCCACCAAAAGCCCTTCTCCTGCTGTGATTGTAGGTGAACTATAAATCGCAGCAACTACAACTCCCAAATGTCGAGGTCTGTTTTCCCCAAACTCCACCAGTGTTCACACTTGGACATATTGAGGATTCGCGCCAAGTTTGGTCCAGAACCATCATTGTTTGAGTCCACAGTGCTCTCTGGATGTAGGTGAACGAGAACTCCAAAACTCAAGGTCAATGCCCACCAAACTCTTCCAGGATTTTCTGTTGGTCAAGGGAGTTCTGTGTGCCAAGTTTGGTTTGATTCTATCATTGGTGGAGTTCAGAATGCTCTTTGAATTGTAAGTGAACTATCAAATCAAATCATTTATTTCGGTCATAAACCAGCACAGGAAATAAAAGTCACAGTTTAGTACAGGGATCCTCAAACTTTTTAAACAGAGGGCCAGGTCACAGTCCCTCAAACTGTTGGAGGGCCAGATTATAATTTGAAAAAAAACAGGAATGAATTCCTATACACACTGCACATATCGTATTTGTAGTGCAAAAAAACACTTAAAAACAATACAATAACTAAAATGAAGAACAATTTTAACAAATATAAACTTATTAGTATTTCAATGGGAAGTGTGGGCCTGCTTTTGGCTGATGAGATAGGAATGTTGTTGTTGTTGTTGTTGTTGTTGTTGTTGTTGTGTGCTTTCAAGTCATTTCAGACTTAAGTTGACCCTGAGCGAGGGCCGGGTAAATGACCTTGGAGGGCCGTATCCAGCCCCCGCGCCATAGTTTGAGGACCCCTGGTTTAGTACATTTGAAATATAAATATAAATACTGAAGCACAATGGGGGGTGGGAGGAAGGGGAAACAGGGTAAAAACATACAATGCACAGGTCTATCAGCAAATTATAGAATCTGGGAAGATCATTACTGGATACACAGTTAACTTTTGGGACCAGTTATCCCTGACGGATTTTGTATGCTGCTGTACAAAACTTTGCAACACTGTAGGTTGTAGCTGAATTAGTATCTACAAGTATCAGGGTGGTATAAAATTGGCCTGAGCAGCCTGGGTGCTTGTATATCAGAAGTAAGGTAATCCTGGCACTGGAGGAGCACATGTTCTATTGTTTCTATATGACCCGAGTCACAGGGGCAGAGTCTCTCTGGGAAAGGAATCTTCCGATAGCAGCCTTTGAGTATAGCTGATGGGAGAGCATGGCATCGAACCAGGGTGAAAGCCCTTCGATGAATGGGAACCTCTAAATTTGTTAAATATGCCATAGGGGAGGCAAAATATCTGCTGTCTTCATTGATAAGATAGGTTGGAATGGAGGCCAGATCTAGTTGGCGCTCTGTGTCTGTGATACGTTGTTTAATAAGAGCTTTGGCTTGATTGTAATCCATAGTGAGTAGTAGACCTGGAGAAAATCCCAGTGAGGAGATTTTGGATGCTACCTCTTGATTCCATGAGGATTGGAAGATCCTCCATGGTTAGTGGGGCAAGACCAAGGGGAACACAGAATATTCTGAGCCAGAGGTTGAGTATGGCCGCCCACACCCTGGCCTCCACCCTCATAAAGTCCATCTCCAGTTGCAGGATGGCATTAGAGACACATTTAGGTACCTGCAAGGCCGATCTCAGAAACTTTGACTGAACCAGCTGTAATGGGGCAAAACTGGGGAAGGGGCCCAGCTGAGCCCCATGTAAGAGTTGAGTAGGTGAACTATATATCCCAGCAACTACAACTTCCAAATGACAAAATCAGCAACCACCCCCTCTCAACCACACCATTATTCAAATTTGGGTATATCGAGTATTTGTGCCAAATTTGGTCCAGTGAATGAAAATCCATCCTGCACATCAGAAATTTACATTACAATTCATAACAGTAGCAAAATTACAGTTGAAGAGGGGTTGATTTTGTCATTTGGGAGTTGTAATTGCTGGGATTTATAGTTAACCTACAATCAAAGAGCATTCTGAACTCCACCAATGATGGAATTGAACCAAATTTGGCACACAGAACTCCTGTGAGCAACAGAAAATACTGGAAGGGTTTGGTGGGCATTGACTTTGAGTTTTGGAGTTGTAGTTCACCTACATCCAGAGAGCACTGTGAACTCAAACATTGATAGATCTGGCCTAAACTTGGCATAAATACTCAATATGGCCAAATGTGAGCACTCGTGGAGTTTGGGGAAAATAAACCTTGACGTTTGGGAATTGTAGTTGACCTAAGAATTCATTGCTTCTAATAAAATGTCTCTTTTATTAACAAATTCATACATTAAGAGTAATAATAACAACAACAATAATAATAACTTTATTTTTATATCCTGCCACCATCTCACCGAAGGGACTCAGGGCAACTTACATGGGGACCAAGCCCAGTAATGGAGCTTGGGTTGAAAGGGTCAAAGTGCTGAAATTCTTTTGATTATTTATTATTTATTTATTTATTATTTATGACATTTATATGCCACCCTTCTCACCCCAGAGGGGACTCAGAGCAGCTTACAAGTTATATATACCTACAATATATTATATAATCAGTATAGCACAATATTAGTATTATATCTTACTATATTGTAATGTTAGTAATATTACATGTAATATGAAATATACTTTAGCGCAGCTGTCTGAGTGTCAGCTGCATTAAGATCACTTGGGAGTTGTAGTTCATCTACAATCAAAGAGCATTCTGAACCCCACCAACGATGGAATTGAACCAAACTTGGCACACAGTTCTCCCATGACCAACAGAAAATACTGGAAGGGTTTGGTGTGCAGTGTCCTTTGGTTTTGGAGTTGTAGTTCACCTACATCCAGAGATCACTGTGGAGTCCAACTATGATGGATCTGGACCAAACTCTATACGAATACTCAATATGCCCAAATGTGAACACTGGTGCAGTTTGGGGAAAATAGAATCTTGACATTTGGGAGTTGTAGTTGCTAGGATTTATAGTTCACCTACAATCACAGAGCATTCTGAATCCCACCAACAATAGAATTCGGCCAAACCTCCCACACAGAACCCCCATGTGGGCCACAGCAATGTGTGGCAAGGGACGGCTAGTTTCAACATATAAATAGATACCAATAACATTACATTAATTGAGGTATCCATAAGTTAAATGTTCTTGGATCTGTATAAATAAAAATGTAATGTTTGTTTGTGGGATTAACATAACTCAAAAACCGCAGGACAAATTGACACCAAATTTGGACAGCATACACCTAACAACCCACTGTATGTCCTTCACTCAAAAAAATTTGATTTTGTCATTTGGGAGTTGCAGTTGCTGGGATTTGTAGTTCACCTACCATCGAAGAGCATTTGGCAGGGGACAACTAGTGTAATATAAAATATATAATTATTATATTGTACTATTAGTATTATACTTTATTACATTATAATATTGCTATCAATGTTATATGTGTACACACTATATTATAATATTAGCACAGCTCAATATTGGTATTATATATTACTATTTTGTTGCTGGGGGGAGGGGCTCCCAACTAATGACGCAGGAGACATGGTGGAACTCTGATTATCAAGTACTGATGGTTTGATCGGCTTCATTTCAGGACTTCCTGTTCTCCCTGAACTTAGCAGTAGTCTTCTCATAGGAGTCTAGCGAATAGCTCTTCTCCCCAGCAACAGCAGCAGTATATTCATGGGCATTACCACTCTTGTAATGCAAAGTGTGTTGGAATGCTTTGATCTTGAAGGAACAATTATGTCCGATTAGATTTACAAATGGTCTCCTAGCAGAGATGAAAAGTGCTAGAACTGGTTTGATATGGATCAATGCAGCTGCTTGCAATTTAGGATTCCCCTTGGGGGCATGACTGTCATGAATGCCTGCACCTCAAAATTGAGCATTACGCTCCTCACTAAAGGAAAGAGAGCTTGTTTCACTGCCAGGTAGGATTGCCAGGGTGCGGTGATTGGGCTAAAATTCCCATTTAAGGGCATGTATTAGTAAAGAAAAACTGTGCATCAGGATACAAGTGCTTTTAAATGCCAACATTTTTGTTGCTCGTTTTTTAGACTTGTCTGTGAAGATATCCGTAGAAACCACAGCAGATGTGAAAGCCAGGTACATGAGGCATGGGCCGTATAGCGTTACAGGTGAGCTTCCTTTACATTACAGCAAGAACTTTGGTGGTGGTGATGTTTTGATCTGCAGTGCTCAGACCATAGCTTCCCAAAATATAGCTCTTCCCATGGTGTTCCCACCCACTGGGCAAACCAACGGTTCATATGGATATCAATCAGGCCTGTAGCGGGGGGGGGGGTTGGGGTTCACCCCCCCCCCCCGAAATGTTTCAGATTTTTTTAAAAAACCCAGTTTACTCATGAATTTTAACTGGTTAACCAAATCCCCATGCTAAGTCTATGAGATGCAAAAAATTAAGAGTCCCTCCAGAACTACAAGCACTATTCTCAAGCAAATATTTATTTATTTATTTATTTATTATTCGGACTTATATGCCGCCACTCCCCTGGGGCTTGGAGTGGCTTACAAGAACAGGCTAAAATCGAACACAATTTAAAAACAATTTAAAACAATTTAAAAACAGCAATATCAGAGATCAAAGGCCTGTCGAAACAGATATGTCTTACATGCCCTGCGGAAAGCTGATAAGTCCCGCAAGGCACGGACTTCAGGTGGCAGAGTATTCCAGAGTGATGGTGCCACTGCTGTAAAGGCTCTGCGTCTGGTTGCTGTTAGACGCAAGGTCTTGACACTGGGAATTTCCAACAAATCTTGATCCTCAGAACGGAGGGATCTCTGGGGTTGGGAGGGGGTGAGGCGGTCCCTCAGGTACATTGGCCCCAGACCATGCAAGGCCTTAAATATTGACAATGTATTCACACTGTCATTACTTGCAACAATACCTGATGTAGTGAAGCAACCAAGTTGTGTGTGTGTGTGTTGAATGCTCTCAATAAGGAGGCTAGACTTGGTGGAGGTGGTTGACAGGGGTGGAGCTGCAGGCTATTGGGGGCTGCTCTGCCCCCTGCTGTGCTCTTTGCTTCAGCGTGAGCTAGAAGGCAGGTTTCAACCCCCCACCCCCACGAAATTTTCAACCCCGCCCCCTGAAAATTTCAACCCCTCCCGAAATTTTTTTCTGGCTACGGCCCTGATCTCAATACTATGAACTCCAGAAGTTTTGATCTGCAGGATTTGATTTCCCGTTTAACCCTCTGCCCTTCCATTTTTCCAACTGTTTTTAACATGTCCCAGTTTCTCTCTTCTACTCCCACTTTTTCCCTTGGTCCTCTTGCTCTCTGAGATCTCTCCTTTCTCCTTATGCACGACTAACTCTTTAAAATGGTCCTTAGTATTTTATTTATTGTGTCCGAAGCAAACTGTGGGTACAGTTAAAATGTATTCAAAACACAAACAAAGTTTAAAACTTGGCATTATGCTAAATATATTTTGACCGGAAGCTGGCCACTTGGAGGGCCTCTGGTGTTGCTGTAAGAAGGTCCTCCATTGTGCATGTGGCAGGGCTCAGGTTGCATTGTAGTACGTGGTCTATGATTTACTCTTCTCTATGCTCTCATGTCATGGACTCCACTTTGTAGCCCCATTTCTTAAGGTTGGCTCTGCTTCTCGTGGTGCCAGAGAGCAGTCTGTTCAGCGCCTTCCAAGTCACCCAGTCTTCTGTGTGCCGAGGAGGGAGTTTCTCATCCGGTCTCAGCCACTGATTGAGGTTCCGGGTTTTAGCCTGCCACTTTTGGACTCTCGCTTGCTGAGGTGTTCCTGCAAGTATCTCTGTTGATCTTAGGAAGCTTTTTTATTTAAGGCATTAGCATGCTGGCTGATATCCAAATAGAGGACGGGCCACTGCCTTGGTCCTTTCATTATTGGCTGCTACTTCCCAACGAATGTCAAGTGGTTCAATACCAGCTAAACCAGTGGTTCTCAACCTGTGGGTCTCCAGGTGTTTTGGCCTACAACTCCCAAAAATCCCAGCCAGTTTACCAGCTATTAGGATTTCTGGGAGTTGAAGGCCAAAACGTCTGGGGACCCACAGGTTGAGAACCACTGAACTAAACAGTGTAATTTCTCCAGTGGTGTGGAACGTAGACAACTTGTGATAATGCGGCATGTCTCATTAAGAGCCACATCCACTTTTTAACGTAGTGAGATGTATTCCACACTGGGCTTGCATATTCAGGAGCAGAGTAGCAAAGCGCAAGGGCAGATGTCTTCACTGTGTCTGGTTGTGATCTCCAGGCTGTGCCAGTCAGCTTTCGTATATTATTTCTAGCACCCACCTTATGCTTGATAGTCAAGCAGTGCTTTTTGTAAGTCAAAACACAGTCCAGAGTTACTCCCAGGTAGTTGGGTGTGCAGCAATGCTCCAGTGGGATTCCTTCCCAGAAAATCCACAGAGCTCGAGATGCTTGTCTGTTCTTAAGGTGAAAAGCACACGTCTGTGTTTTAGATAGATTAGGAATCAGCTGGTTTTCCCTGTAATAGGCAGTAAGAGCACTTAAAGCTTCTGAGAGCTTCTGTTCAGTCATTTCAAAGTTCCATGCTTGAGCGGTGATGGCACAATCATCCTTAGTATGAAAGATCACATCAAATAGAAGGAAGACAAGTATCTGTCCCTCACAGTTCTAGTTAGATTGGACGAACCCTTTCAAGCTCTAGAAAACTTACCTTAATTCAGAGCCTCAACCATTCAGAATATAGCTGGATCCCTCTGGAAGAGTACACTGCATTTCCCCTTCAGCAGCATCCTTGAATGCATATATTCATTGAAATTATGTATGAAATTCATACATGTATCATTATACCCATGATTTTATCTGTATTACAGGAAATCCTAGAAGACAAAATGTTACAGTGTTTTTCTCCCTTCTTCATATATTGTTTGGCTATCCAGGGCATGTCATCAGAACAAGGCTTCTGTTTGCATGTCCAGGGTATTTTTGAGATGATCTTGCCGGTAGAGACATAAGGGCAGGAAAAGAGCAAGCAATGTTTTTGTTTGTTTGTTTGTATTTAATATACAATGTATAATAAACAATGTATTATTTATTTATTTATTTATTTACTGCATTTATATACCACTTTTCTCCCCCTAAGGGAACTCAAAGCAGTTTCCAACATTATAAAGTCAAAATTCAATGCCGTACATGCATGTGAAAACCAAAAGATAATAACGAGAAAATAACGTATAACTATAAATTAATTTAATCAAATAAAAAACATGAATATAAAATAACATTTAGACAAAAAAAATTAAACATCGATAATACAATAATATTTATATTAAAACCCACCAATAAACAACACAATTTAAAACAGTTATTAAAATCACGCCATCCAAAATCAAGTCTATTGGTCTGTTAACTATTCCTTATTATCTTTTTGCACTACGAGCTTTGCTGTCCGAAAGCTTGGTCACATAATCACATTTTTGCTTTTTTCCTGAATTTATTTATTTATTTATTTGCAGTATTTATATTTTGCTCTCCTCACCCCGCAGGGGACTCAGGGCGGATTACAATGTACATATACATGGCAAACATTCAATGCCATAGACACACAACATATCTAGACAGACACAGAGGCTATTTAACATTCCAGCTTTTTTGAGGGTATTTTGGCCACCAGGGGAGCTGTTCCTTCACCGACCATTTGTGACACTGATGAAGTACTTCCTCATTCTTTGTATACTTGCTGGAGATTTTTATGGCCTCACATATTAGTTATATTTGCCTCCCCGCATAAGCAGTACTTAAATTTTCTACTTGACAGATGCATCTGTCTTTCGGGCTGCAAAGGTCAACAACAAGCTACACAAATGTCATGTTGTCAAACTTGTGGCCCTCCAGATGTTTGGGCCTCCAATTCCCAGACACCCTAGACAGCTTGTCCAATGGCCAGGAATTCTGGGAGTTGATGTTCAAAGCACATGAAGGACCACAAGTTTGGCACCACTGTTCTCAAGCAATATCAACAGGCATTCATATGATGAATTTATTTCCAAGTATTATGGAATCTTCTTTTCCAAATAATTCGATTGCATTGCTTTGCTCATCAAAATAATTATTGTTTGTTGCGGTGTGGCTTTGAGTCATTTCTGATTTGAGGTCGCAATATCAGGGGAGTATTCTTGTTCAGAGAGAGTTTGCCTTTGCCTCCCTCTGAGGTTGAAAGAGCATGACTTCCAATATGTTTTTTTTTCATATCAGTAGCAACTTGAGAAACTGCAAGTCGCTCCTGATGTGAGACAATTGGCCATTTGCAAGGACATTGCTCAAAGGACGCCTGGATGTTTGATGTTCTACCACCCTTGTGGGAGGCTTCTCTCATGTCCCCGCATGGGGAGCTGGAGCTGACAGAGGGAGCTCAACCCACTCTCCCCAGACCTGTCCATCAACAGTCCTCTCGGCACAAGGATTTAAGTCATTCCATCCAAGGGGGCTTGTACTTCCCATAGGTCACCCCATGTTTGAACAATAATTCGAACCCGGGTCACCAGAGTTGTTCTCCAAAACAATACACAGCCACAGTAAATATGTAAGAACATCAGAAGGTAACTGTTATCAGAAACTACTTGGACAAAATCATTTATAACCTTAGTGAAAGGCCGCCGAGACCAACTAAATACACATATTACCAAAGGAGCAAGGCACGTAAATTGGAAGGGTTCTTCATAGTTGTAGGGCAACCACTTTTTGTTTTCCAGCCTAATTGACCTTAACAGTTGTTTCTCACCAGCAGCATGTCTGAAAGAGATCTTAATGTATAGGTGGAGGTAACCTTTTAAAGAATGTTCCTAAACCATTTATGTCTCATCCTAGATTAACACCCGCATTTTAACTTTAGTCTGGAAATGTACTGGTGACTGTGTTTCGCCCTCCTATTTGTTAACTTAATATTTCAGTGCTATTTATGATGGATAGAGAAGGCTTTGTTGAGGGAAGGGGATTTACAGAGTTTTACACAGTTTTCATGTTTGACTCGCTTTGAATTCTTGGGTGTTCATGTCACTAACACAAAATAAAATGCCCAGTGGATAAATGAAATACCTTATGTTGGCAAAGGCTGTCATGCCCAGATTCACTGGGTTGCTGTGAGTTTTCTGGACTGCATGGCCATG